CTTAGTATTTTCAATACCCACTCTCGCTCTTGTAATGACCAATTTCGTAACGTTTGCGACAACATCCCTCTCCTTGTAAATGCCAGAAGTGAAAATGAATTATAGCTCAGTAAACACAAATGGCATGTATTTCACTGTATGTGTTGTATATTAAACTAATTAATGATAATTAAAGTACAAATTAGTTGGCAATGCTAGTTGCACCTAACAGTAAGATTGAGGCAAGGTGTGAGTGAAGGAAGAATGCTTGGTCGAGAAATGTTTGATCAGAAGCTATGTACTCGCCGACGTGGATGATGCAAGAGCTAGAGTCTACAACGCCAATATAAATGGATTTTAGTATATACGTCATATAAGTTTTGAATACTTTCTTCGCAAACGTACAGATTAAAAAAGGGTTAAAGATATTTTCATTCATTGTAACAATTTACAACTAATAACTTTAGTTTATTTATGTTTTTAAAACAAATTAATTACTTAATATTTTAAGTTTTCAGTACTGGACTCAAAAAGGAATAATTTCAGCAAATGTTGAAAAATGTAAATAAATAATTATCAATATTACGTAACACTTAATTTTAAAAAAACTACCTCAATGTAACGCTGTACTCCCTCCCCCCTCTTTAGCGTTACGTAATTTATGGACGACTCCTTAACCCGTCAGAGGTGGCGCATTGGTATTTTGGACCCGACGCTAATTCAAAATGATGTGAATGGTCATTTGAATCCCGGAAAGCTGGCCGCCTGAGTAGCTTCCTACGTCGTTATTCGTGAGTTGTCTCTGGCAGTTTATTTTCAGCAGTCCCGTGTCCGCCGATGCCAGAGGTCATTTCCTGGCCGTGCCCTTCAACCTTGCGCCTCCTGTGGCGTCGCATTCAGCGCAAATTCTGAATCGCCTTGGGTGCCCCTGACTGCGCCTCCGCTGGCGGTTTCCGTGCTCCGCCATATTTCGTATCAAAATGACTGACTTTGGTAGCTCACGACATCAATTGACATCTCTGCAGTGCCTCTGATCGGGAAGACCTAGGGTTCGAATCCCGACGGTGGCTGATTGATTGTTAAAGATTCGGTCGCGTCAACTGCTAAGGTTGTTAGTAGCGTAAGTGTAGTGCAGGATTTCTCCTCGGAAGATGGTGGTGAACTTCCACTGCTGGATGGCGAGATCCGGCGCCGACCTACCGTCCCCAACCTCGCACCAGCGGGGCACCGCCCCAGTCGGGTCAAGCTCTATGCTCTCGACCGGTCTCACAGCATGTGTGGTAGTATGTGCATGTATAAGTGAGGGGTGAGGATAAGACAAGGAAGAGGAAGGAAAGATCACGCACGATCCGTGGCCTGTTCGTTAAGGTACAGCTCCGGCATCCGCCTGGTGTTGATCGGAGAAACCACGGAAAACTACATATCAGAGCAGCCGGTCGCTAGAAGCTCCACACAGCGACTGAATTCAACCTAGCTGAGAAGCCAGGGTCGAAAATCCTACCACTGTCGAGACTCGAACCTACGACCTCCCGTTCAGAGGCACTGCCTTTTTGTCGCAGTGAGCCTTTTTTTGCAGTGAGCAGTGAGCCTTTTTTTATTTTGTCCCCTCCACAGTAACCCTGTGGAGAAGGGGAATTTATTTACTTTTGATTTATACATTAAGCTGCTACCTAGCAGTTACTTAAGCAGTTAGCGGAGGGGCTTTGTCTTACAGCTAAATTTTAATATTCTAGTCCTGAAGTTGCTGTGAGCCACCTCTCCCGGCCCGACGCTTGCAAGATTTCGACACTAGCTACATAGCTAGGTCGAATTCAGCTACTGCCTGGAGGAGAATTCTTGCGGCCGGCTGCTCTGATCAGTAGTTTCTCCGATCAATACAAGACGAATGCCGGAGAAGTACCCAAACAAACGAGCCACAGAGCACGCGCGATCTTTCCTTCCATTTGCGTGTCCTTTCCTGACCCCTTACTTAACCACACTTACACTCACATGCACAATACTACTACACATGCCGGAATACCACTGGGGAGCTATATCGTGTCCCAGCTGGGGTGGAGAATACTGACTGAGGAACAAGACGACGGGATATAGCGTTGGCGCCGGATCTCACTATCCAGCGGAGGGAAGGATCAACCGTTACCCTACCGAGAGAAAAAATGCACTACACTTTTCGATTACAAGTATTAATTTTTCGTGAAATTATATATATATATATATATATACTATATATATATATATATATATATATATATATATTAATTTTTCATTTCACGTGTCGAATATTACAGTGACAAATGAATCCAGAAAATTTATTTAGTATTCTTTTCTTATGAATCGGTCAAACTAACATTCGGCACTTTGTTTTGTTTATACGTTATCCGTTTATAAAGCAAACAATTCTGTTTCTGTTTCTTGCTTATATATGTTTCCTTACAAACCGTCATCAAAATATCGTAGAACTTACCGATTCCTGGAGTTTAATCTGGGTGTCTGGGTGAGCCAAGTATAAAACTTTTCATGTCATGTTCTAACTCGGAGCAGCATCTTCACGCCGCAATGCCGCCACGTGACCCCGCGCCGGAGAGCACGGGACCACAGCACCCATACTCTCTGACAAGCACACTCAGCAAGGAAAGCGACCGAGGAAAGGTCCGCGCAGAAGGGAGCGCAGGAGATGCCGGGTGTGAAAGAGGGCCTTGAGGGAGTGACAAAAGCCAGCCGGTGTTGGGTCTGTGGGCTGCCTTTTACATTTCCTTGCTCCACGCCTTTTTATTTTTGTTTTCCCCTTTCCTTCTAAGACGAAAAAATATTGCAATCGTCTGCTTAGAGACTGTCAATTGCGACAGAAAAAAAAAACATTTTTTTAACGGTGCCTGGTAATGAAAAAAAGTGGATAAATCTTGTTCTTGAATAGTAAATACTTTATCTGAATCGTTGTGTAATGTCAGGGAATCCATGTTTTGGGGTCCTTGATACCAAAAATTTGATGCACGACTTGACAGTAAAAAAAAAAATTATATTTTCGGTCGTTTTAAAGGAAACTTGAGGCACTGGCGAAGTTTAAAAGATGGCATTTTAATTTTTGGAAGACTTACATGAAGCCTCAACAATTAAGTTTTTCTCAAAAATGTTCAAAAAGTTTTCATTAAACACTGAGCAACGGATTTCTAAAAATTGCCTCAATTAAAGTAAAAAGACACTTAAAAGAAATGCTCACAGTTCGGTTTTCGTTGAAACTCTGATTTTTACGAAAATTGCATCAGTATGGAAATTTATTTGAAAGGTTTCTTTTTATATTACTACTATATGAATATAAAGATTTTTCTCTTTAATGGAAATTTGTTATCTAAGAGAGATCTGGAAATAACGTCGTGTTATATATTTCGAAGATATGAGTCGTTTTCGGTAATTTGCTTGAAATACGCAATTTTTAAACGTGTTTTCCTAAACACGGCACCAAATGTGTTCTTTAAAATTTCCCCTTGCATGATCCAATAACGGTTAAAAAACTGTGACGCCAAGTCCCAAGAGAGAGTCGGGCCGGGGCCGGGGCCGTAGTGAGAGGAGTGGTGGCTGAGAGTGATGGCGGAGCCAGGGCGTGACGGTGAGGCGGAGGGGAGTGGGCGAGGCGGGCGGAGGCGGGGGTGGGGCGGGGGTGCGGGGCGGGGGCGGAGACGAGCCGGGACGGGACCAGGGTGAGTTACGGAAGCGGGGCGTTTACTTGCGGACGAGAAGTACGAGGCGGGATGAAGACGATGACTGGGAAGGAGACGGGGAATGCGCTGGGATCGAGGCGGCGGCGGGGGAAGGCGAGGCAGGGGCGGAAAAACGGAGGCGACGGATGTGGAGAGGTCACGGGTCGGAGCAGTGGGTTGTGGCGTGGCCGGATGAAGGAGCAGGGGCTGAGGCGCGCGACGGAGTCGATGCGAGGGCGGTGCGGGCGGAGGCGTTGTCGGAGGCAAGGTGGGGTGAATGCGTGGTGGATGTTCAAGATGGGATGAAGAGTCTGTTACTTGTGGCGGAAGCGGATTGATAACGGGGGGCGGACAGTAGGGGGCGGTGGAGGCGCGAGACGACTCGAAGGCGGGGCGAGGCGGGAAGAGGAGTGGGACACGTGTGTGGAGGCGGCGAAGCCAGTGGCGTGGCAAGGGGACGGGGCGGAGGTGAGGACAGGGATGACGGCTCGTGTTAACTTCTGCAATTTTTTGCAATTTTAGAAAAAATGCGGAGAGTGTCGAAAATGAGGCTAGTACTTTATTCTTTTACCGTCCTTTTTCACATAAAGAACAGATTTCATTAGAGAAAAAATCGATTTACAAAAAATTAAAAAATCGTCAACAAAACCAAATTCTACATGTAAAGTACTGTCAAAAACCAATGTATCTGTTTGAATATCCAAAGGGATCTAGTTCGTTTAGATCGATTGAGGAATATCAATTTTGGTGAAAATTGGTCGAAAGACAAAAAGATGGACGGACGGACGTTTTGCTATCAATCGAGTTTTCGGGGTCAAGTACCCACCTTTTAGAGAAAATACTATACTGTAAGAAAATGATTTAGCCCCTTTTTCGTTACAGTTTTGCGGCGCAAGATTACAATATTTTCTATACACACACTTGAAAGGGCGACAAAGTAACACGGAATGCTATTCAATCATTTATGAACTGAATGAAAACATTCGAAGAATGATAACAGAAATAATATTTTATAAAACATACGAGTTAAATTAATACTTTATTTTTTTTTTTAAATATAGACTGTTATTTTGAATGTTGTACATTTGATTTAAGATTCGGATTCAGCGATTCCCTTAAAAACAAATGGCTGTTGTATAGGCCTGATATCTTATTATAATTTTCGCCAGCTTTCCGGGCTTTGGCCACGAGCGCAGTGTCCTTCACTACGCAGCCCCTCCCAGCCACTTGCTTTGCCCCTCCCTTCGGGCCTCCTTGGCGTGACCCTTCCTGCGGCCTTCGTGCCGTGTTCTCTCCCTCCCACCGTCCTCCCCGCCGTTCGGAATCCCCCCTCCTAAAGCTGTGGCGCATCGGCCTGAGAATCGGCACCGAAGAGAGACATGGGCTTCGACTGGGCCTCGCAATCGCAATTGGAAGGGATTCGAGATCGGGTGTTGGCAGCGAGCGGGCGTGTGGCCTCCTTCGGGGCTGTTGCGGACGTGGAGCGCAGGCCAGTGGCAGCGTTTTTTCTTCTTCTCGTCACTGAGAACACTTCCAGGGTAAGTTGGCCTTCAGGCAGTATACATTACGATACAATTAATTGTGGGAGACGTAGAAGTCCGAGAGTCATAGTGGTTGCGTCGAATTGTATATTACCAATGTTTTGAAGCCAGTAGATACTAGATAGCCCAAACCAATGAAGATGGTTTATCATGCTCGTCGTGCAACTATTGTTAGGGTGGGGGAAATAGTCTTAAAATTTCCCTTCTTTTACGGTTAGCATCGTATATATTTGATAGTATTTATGGTTTAAAATTTAGTATACGGTACACTCTTAGAGAAGCGTGGCGGCGGGCTTAAGCCCTAATTACTGTACGTGCTCTAATAGAAATGAATAAAATTTACGGATAGGCTATTTTCGTGGTTCACCCTTCATAAGCTTTGTCCCCGCCGCATTGTAACGCCAATTTACTTTCAACGGCAAGTTTGCTCGCTTCGCTCGCCCGGATCCAAGTCACGGCGAGGCTCGGGCCTTCGGCCCTCGCGTTCACTATAAACTTCCTTGAGTCTATCCAATGCATAATTACCAATTCACTTTTATAAGACATCACTTTTCAAGAAAGTCTCCAGAATTACATTTGAGCCTATATATGAATGTGTCGGGAAATTAAATCAACCCAAGTACAGTTTGTTCAACGGACATTGGCTGAGTCTCTGTGTAGAGTAAAATCTTAAGGTGGAGCGGATTCTCCGCTGCTTTCGAAGTTTTGAAGAAAGATCGCCACAAATTCTTAACATTCAAATTAAGATTCACGATTTTTTTTCATTTTCATTCATTGTTTTCTTCATAATCATTTGTTGTTTATTTCTTTCTTTTTCGTGTTTGTTCACAATATTACATACGAAGTTCAAACACGCACAAATGAGCTCATTTCCGAAGTGACACATCTCAATTTCCGTTTATTTTCTAATTTTAGGAATAAATATAAAATATAAATATTATATTTTAATAATAATATTCTTAATGTTCTTTAAATATGCTTCTCCATCGTTCTTCCAAATAGTGAGTTATTGTTTGGCATGTTTAACGGTATCAGGAAACTATTGAATCTTACTTAGGTTGTATACAAATATTTTTCCGTACTGAAATATTGTTTCATGGAGATCTGTCCCTTCGGAATTAAATTCTGCAAAAGTATGTGGAAGTATGGAAAAGGAATTCCCTCTTTCCCGCGACTTTGCCTGTGGTTCTAAGCTTCATTCGCATTCGAAATATGTGCCAAATATCTAGAACGACAATTCGTCAGTGGGGAAGAGTTCACTATTCGTGAATAATCTGCTTTTGTATGAATGTTCCTCAAGCAATGGCTATGTGTAAACGCGCGTTAATTGCCAGACATTCCGCTTTCCTCCTGAAAAGACACGTTTTACACTTCAGTTTTGATTTTCTTTTAAATTTGATTTAGTACAGTTGCTAATACGAATTTAATGAACAAAGAAGTTTTATCTCGTGTTTTCATTAAAACACCACTACTACGCCAACAAAATTAACGTGAAACACACAAATTACAACCAGGTTAATAGTGAAATATAATACAAAGATGCATTCCAAACTCGTGTTTCTTTAAAAAAAAGTATGTTTTAATGGAATTTAATTTTCAGATGTATTTTTTTTTTAATTCTATGGTAACTGTTGTTATTGGCTGAATTAGAAATGTGGCAAATTCACTTTTTAATGTTTGCGGCTTCATTACATAGAGAGTAGACGACTTTTACAAAATTTTCTTTAAATTTTTTCTCATTTTTTTCTATACTTTTCTTATCGGATAGAGAAAAGAAAGGACGGTTATGTAAATGGCACAGGTCGGATTGTCTTGAACTCTATAAATTTTCAAATCTTGCGATACTTCAAAATTGTTTCGGTGTTTTCCTACAATTACAATATCGAAGATGTGTTTGATAGAAATTCAGTTAGCGGTATGGTTCGTTGCCGCGCGCTGTCGATTCCGAGAATGACTCACTCGCGGCGCGGCCACAGTGTGCGCGGCCAACGCACTTCGCGCTGAATTGTGACGCTTCTCTACGCGAGTCAAAATTGAGGACGAGGCCCGCACCTTAGGCCCACGCGTGAATAAAAAACATTCTTGAGTCTGACCAACGCATTTTATGCGAATACTCACTTTAAAAATCATTTAATTCGTTCTGCTCATTTGTTCTCTGGTTCCTCGCGCGAATCAGACCGCTGGCAAAGCATACCGCAACCCTGCATTTAGAGTAATATTTTGCTTAATGAAATATGTTCATCAAAATGAAATGTATAAAAAAATTCCATGCAATTATGTAAACGTGAGTGGCTGCGCGTATTTTTCAGTGACTTACAAACATTGCGGGACGTTGCACAATGTAGTGTTGTATTGCCGGACCCTGGTATATCTTGTTCCTTTCCTCATCGCTCATAGTCAGAATTCATGTTGGCCTTCATATAGTGGTGCTACATTCTTGCATTGTATCTAAATCAGCATTTTTCCAAAAGCTCATAGAATTTAACGAAATTGAGGCAGGCACCATTTTTAAGCTTGCTTTGTTCTATGCGTGGTATAAGTTTAAAGAAAAAAAACTTTGAAAACTTTTTTTGAGTTAAAAAAATAATGGTATTAATTTGAAGCATAAATTGCTCGAACGTATTTTTTTTATAATATGACCGTTTTTAAAGAGCTGATCTTTTTAGAAGGCAAAAATCTCGATTCAATTTTATACATTTTGGAATGTAACATTTGTGCAATTTCGAAAATAAATTGAAACAAACCCCACTTTTTTAACATTTGAGAGATACGATGAGAAAATTGAAGTAAAACATAGGTAGAGTTTTTGAGAAAAAAATTCAAAAAAATAAAAAAATGCATGTATATCACGCAGATGTATGCGAAAACTAGTCGTGTCGAAAAATTGAGTATGATCTTATATCAAGGTCAGCCTTTAAATAACAGAAATTGTATCTCCAGTATTGTAGTAACAGGAAGACCGGAAAACAATTTGCATTTTTGTAGAAATAATTTATTTCAATGAACGTCAGTCGTACACCATTCTCTGAAGCGACCTTAACGCTCTAAGAGAATGTTTAATAAAACAATTTGGAGACATTTTTAGACAATTTTGAAAATGTTGAGTCGTTATGTAAAGTAGACCCCGAAATCTAAATATCCGTTTCAAACACAGAGGGACAGGTAAAGGAATATCTATTTTGAAAAAAAATCAGCTTACGTAGCTCCAGCTAACTAGGACTACAGTCGGACAGAGAGACGGATGTATTGCCGTAAATCGATTTTTTAGTAACGACTCACAAATCATGAATTCTGGCTACACAGATACGAAAGAAAATTATTCTGTAACATTGAATTTGGAAATAATCAAGTAAATAATGGTTAGGTATTCATTGTTTCTGAGAAGTCTCTTTAAAAAACTTACTTTTTGGGAGATTCCTTTTTCTCTTTCCCAAAGCGAATTTGGCGAACCTGGAAACCGGGAATTTGTCGGATATTAGATCGTGAGAAATTTGAAAATAAATTTAAAAAACTAATAAAAATGGGAACTAGGTTTGAAATCAGTTATATTTTAGTTTGTTTTTTTTCACGTTCATCATTCATTATTTTTATCAATGACATCATAGTGCGTAATAATGATGAGTTGAAATCAGGACGGCATGTAGGAAAATAAATTACCTAATGGATGCTCAGAACATGTGAAATTCTCGCTCACGACTACAAGGGCTGCCGCGGGCGTGCGTACAGAATGGAGTAATTGGAAGAGCATATGAATGTGTTCATTGTACACTAGGAAGTTCATATGTATATGTACATTGTATGTGTCTGTTGAAGATATTCGCAAGCCTAGGATCCGCGGGGAAGCCAGTCGCCTGGTTTTTGGCAAAATGGTCGCTTTGGTCACCCCTCCCTCCCCTCTTTGTCGGGGTCGATTGTACGTGCTGTTCCGCGTCCTATGTCCGGGAAATTGTTGCCCTATAAACAAGTTGTGACTAGTGGTTTTCAATTGGAATTTCTCATTGTTCCTTGGCGGGAGGAACGCATGCGAAGACATTCTTGGTTTTTATTATTACTTGACGATTAAGACTGAACGAATTGTCGGGGATCACGCAGGAAATATTTCATTTTATCCATAATACGGAGTTCAATTCCTCTTGTCATGGTAAGCCTCCTCCTACAAGTGATAAGTGGAGTTATTAAACATCCCGGAAGTTATTAAACATCCGGTTACCGGAATAAGATTCATGGTGACATTTTGTCAGTTTTGCTTATATTAATTCACTGGCTTGTGTTTGTCTCCTTTTTTGTAATCTGAGAGATATCAACGATCAATTGTTCTTTAAATTTGTGTGTAAGGCTATTTTTATAATAAAATAGGTTCACGGGTCAGAGTGGGTAAAGAAAAAATTAGTTCTGCCAACTAATTTTTTCATAACTAATTGTTTTCCTACCCGTACTGACCAATCCCATGAACCAATTTTATTATTCATCAATGGTCGTAATTTCTACAATAGCTATTATTGTTTCGTCTTAAAAATATTTGAATTAATCTGCCTTAATAAACCAAACAGATAAGAGATTAATTGACTTCAGTATAAGCTATGCTAATTTAATATAATCGATTGCGATTAAATCGCTATTAAATAGCCCAAACCTTTCTGCTCTCCATTTGGGAAAATAGAGCACTAACATCTCTGATCTCATACAGGATCATACACAGCACACATTTGCAGAATTTGGAATAATGTCTGCAGGAGAGAGATATTCAGCTTGCGTAATCACTTGCAGTTCTTCGTACGTACACATGTCTATTGGCCATGGGTCTATTGGTTCATGTGACGAGAGCGATTATTAGCCAATTTAAAATCATTTAATTTTATTTTTCGAAATAAAAGAAAAATGATAATAAACTGTTGTAACTTACATTGAATTTATCTCCATAGTAATGAAATAAGTTGATTTCAAACTATTAAATGACTTAAGCGTTATATCATACTACTGACAATAGAAATATCCTGAATTGAACCAAATAAACACTTTACGTGTTTTTATTTTGAATTTCTGTTTTCTGAAACGATGAGCTGTAAGTGGTGCGTTTGCACCAGCGTCGATTTGTATTCGATTGTATCAGCGCGCAGCGTGGCACGAAAAGGACGTTTTGAAGCGGACAGCGAGACTGTTTTTTTTTCTTCTTTCCTCGGCACTTTGGGGTGTTTGTTCCTGAGGGGGTACGAGGGAGGGCGGCGACTGCACGTGCCGCTGCTACGGCCATCCCACCCCCTTCCCCTCGGTGACCTCCGGATGTGAGGGGCACCCGGGGAAGGCCCAGGCAGTGCGTTACGCCTGCCGCTGTTGCCCCAGTCCCTGCCCCCCCTTTTTTCTTTGTTCCCTTGCCTGCTTGTAAGCGGCCAGGCCCTCTGCCGTTGCCAGCCCCGCGTTGAATTCTTTGGGCGGTATCACACTGTAAAATATATTTGACACATATCTTTGATGAAGAACTTTGTGGAAGTTGTTTGAACTTTGACGATAGAAACTTTGAGAAACGTATTTTGCCAATATTTTATATAGTTTTGATCGTGATTTAAGATGGATGTCACACAATTAGGGTTCGTAGGCTTCCGCGGCCGGAGTTAATGTATTCTTGGCTATCCGGGATGAGCTCATCCCGGATAGCCAAGAGTACGTCACACCAATAGTACAGTAGTTGTGTGCTGCTTTATGCTTAATAATTATTAATCTATGTTTAATGCTGAAGAAGTAAAATATAGAGAGGAAACGTTTGAGGGTGAGGTCATGGAGCAAGACCGTGTTATTCATCCATGGGGAGGCTATGGCTATGGGTCGCACATTGTGAAGCATTAATTAAAGAACTAGATGAAATATATTGAGGATGGCCGAGAAAACGTTCAATTTTCT